ATGCAATGCGTGCGTGTATTAGAAAACATGACGTTCTGCAGTTTATTTACTAATTGTTTAAATGCATTTCGTGATTTCAATCATCATACAGTAACCAGCAACAATCAGCCCTTCCTCTTCTCATCGGAGACATGCGATGCAGTCCTAAACAGTCTCTCGCTGTCGGTGCTTGTAATGATTTTTGCGTCTTTCTCCGACAGTTTTAAATGCTTCCACACTGCTGACATGTGTGCTGCATTATAAAGAGTGCGCGCCTCTATTTGATCGTGTCATATCATTGTTCGGTATAATATATTCGGTCTTTTCGCTTATTCGGCCGAACACCGAAAGAGCTTTTTTTTGCTATTTTCGGCCTAATTTCGGTTGCCGAATATTCGGTGCATCCCTATTATCAATATTAAAGGAGTAGTTCACTTCCAGAGTAAACATGTCCTGCTCATTTACTCTCCCCCATGTCATCCGAGATGTTCATGTCTTTCTGTCTTCAGTCACAAAGAAACGAAGGTTCCAGGAAAACGTTCCATGATTTTTCTCCATATAATGGACTTCAATGGGGTCCAACGGGTCAATCAGAGCTCTACACGATCCCAGCCAAGGAATAAGAGTCTTATCTAGCCAAACCATCGCTCACGTTATTAAAAAATAAACATTTATATACTTTATAACCACTAAGTTAGTGATGAGCGATGGTTTCTCTAGATAAGACTCTTATTCCTCGGCTGGGATCCTGTATTACCGAATCCTGGAACGTTTTCTTCAAAAACCTTCATTTCTTTGCGACTGAAGACAGAAAGACATGAACATCTCGGATGACATGGAGGTGAGTAAATGAGCAGGACATGTTTACTCTGGAAGTGAACTACAGCTTGTTTGTGTTCTCCATCAGACACCCAAAGGGCGGCTCGTTCGTTCGGCCCAAAAAGGCCAGTTTCGGTGTGGATTACGTGACGGCTCTGAAGCAGCGCTACGAGGTGGAACTACAGGAGGCTATCGGAGAAGATCTGACGATCTCCAGCAAAACCGTGATGATGGTCGGCTTTGAGGACGTCAAGCAGAAACAGAGGTGACGTTTGTTTTTGTAAACTGTTGTGTTTCATATTTACACCACTGTATACCACTTAAAGGGGTCCTATTATGCTCTTTTACAAAGTCTTGATTTAAGACATGCAATTGAAGCAAAAACTCAAAATTGACTAGTGCCTGTAGTGTCCTGCATTAAATAACATCTAGTTCTGTTATTAAGAAGGCTTTTTCAGAATGCAAAATGTGTTTATTGTGCTCCCGAAGGCTGGAGAACCTGACAGAAATCAGTCTGAGGAGATGCGAGGTGTCTGGTCCCGGTCCGGAGAATGAGATCAGAAATGCCACACCTTGTATCCTTCGAAAAATGCATCACTGATGTTCTCAGACAGGAACAGGAAGACTCTGCGTGAGGCTTCTTTAACAGCATCTCAGTCGCTCGGTCTCTGGATCTGTCTGGAAACCTGCTGAGCTCATGGGAGGTGCTGGCGGCGATCACCGAGCAGCTGGAGTCTCTGCGGGAGCTGCAGCTCAGGTGAGGCCGTCTGATCACACCCGACACCATGTTATTCCCTTCTGAGGTCCGCTTATGGGGTTTGAGCGCTGAAAGTCCCGTTTCAATATCTCTGTGTAGTCACAACAGATTGAGCACCTCCAGTGACCTGAGCCGTTTAAGCCCCGCCTTCTCCTGTCTGAGGGTGCTGTCACTCAACAGCTGCGCGCTCACCTGGACTCAGGTCAGATATATGCGTTTATATGTTGTTTTGGTTTGTGCTCACTGAATTACATCATACTTAACATTACCTACTCAGACATACACTACGGGTCAAAAGTTTGGAATAATTAAGATTTGTAAATTTTTTAATGAAGTCTCTTCTGCTCGCCAAGGCTGCATTTATTTGATCAAAAATACAATAAAAACAGTAATATTGTGAAATATTTTTTTTAATAATTCATTAAATTGTAATAGCATTTTACAATATAACTGTAACATTATACATATTTTAAATTCAAAATATATATAAAAAATATTATATATAAAATATCATATAAAATGTATATTTTACAAGTAAAATGTAAAATATATAAAAAGAATTATATATATATATATATAGAAACCAGTAAAAACAGTTATATTGTGAAATACTTAAAATTATAGGTAAATTAATAATAATTCATTAACCTAATTGTAATATTTCTTAATATTACTATTTTTGTATTTTTACAGTAATACTGAAAAATGCTTATGATTAAATAATAAATTAAATTATTAAATAATAATGTAATTATTATTATTGATTAATTAATATAATAGACAACAATGAATTATTATTCATAAATTAATAATAATGGAAATAAATAAAATAAGTAAATTAATAATTCACTAATTACTAAAACTGGAATCATATTTCACAATATTACTGTAAAGATATAGTAATATTGTGAAATGTTTTAGTTAATAATTCGTTAATTAAATAAATTGTACTAATATTTCACAATATCACTGTCAGAAATACATTTAAAAATATTGTGCAATATTTAAAATGATAATTAATAATTAATTATATTTTACTAATTACTGTAAGAATACAGTAAAAAACAGTAATATTATAAAATATTTAAAATAATTAGTAATTACAATATTATTGTAAGGATAAAGTAAAATAATAAGTAATACAGTAATAATATTAATAGAATTATAATATTTCACAATATTACTGTAAAAATACAGTAGAATTTTGTTAAATTTAAAATGATTATTAGTTTGAATTTATACTAATTAACTAATGCAATTGTAATAATATTTCACTATTATATTGTTTCACCATATTTGTGATCAAATAAATGCAGCCTTGATGAGCAGAAGAGGCTATTTTCAAAAACATAAATGCATTGTAATTATTCCAGACTTCTGACCGGTAGTGTATGTGAATGTGGATCCAGCTCTGACCTCTGACCCCTCTGTCTTTGGCAGGTTCTCCATTGCGTCCCCATGTGGCGGCAGGTCGAGGAACTTTATCTCGCTGACAACGACATCACAGAATTATTAAGGTACATCATATTCACGTCACAGAGCAGAAATATTCCTCATATCACAGAAACCAACCGTGCCTTCTTTCATCTAGACCACAGCATGTGCTACAGGCTTTAAAAGTTCTGGATTTATCCAGTAACCAGATAGTCCAGGAGACGGTGCTGGAAATCTCACATCTACCCGGGTAAGACCTAAACATAACATCATCATAACAACATCATAACTTTGAAATAATGTTTGGATCTTCAGGCTGCAGAAGCTGAATCTGTCCAGCAGCGGTTTATCAGTCTTTCAGTTCAGTGATGCTTCACCAGGTACCAGAGCGCTTCAAATGACTCAACAAGCTCTATATTCATACTCATCATGTGTGTGTGTGCATGCATAAAGTAAAAAATAATATTTTCATGCTGTGAAGGCAACAAGACGGCTTTGTTTCCTGCACTGAAGACACTTTTACTAGACGACAACAGCATTTCAGAGGTGAATATAAAGAAACATCATGTGAAAATGTCCCATTTTACTGTCTGCATCCAATTACATTTACAGAAGCGATTTATATACATGGAAAGCATGTTGAATGCAAGTAAAGTCTCTACTTTAATGTTTCAATCGTCATTCGGTGTAACAGAGATATTTATGTAAAACTCAAACAACGTACTTATTCTGACCTGAACTTATTAAATATATCAAAGAAAAGTGATCTGCTAAATCTGATTCTATTTGAAATGATTAAAACCTGGTGGTTTGACGGATAAGAGATTTCAAATGAGAATGAATTTGTATTTTGTGATCCTTAATTAGTCTTTTAATGTCATCTAATGATTCTTGATCTAAATATAATAAACATATACATGATATAATTATATAATAACGTAATAAAATAAACATCTTTTCTAATTTATGGGGAAAAAATCTCAAACTTTAGTTTTGATGCTTGAAAAACTTTTTTTGTTTTTGAACAGAATGTTAGTATAAATGAGTGTTATTTTAGTATCGTTAAAAGTATATATTTATAGTAATATTTTGAATTAGATTTTTTATTTTTACATTTTGTTTTCATTTATAGTTTAGTTAAAGTATTTTTTGTGTGTTTTTGTCATTATTATTTTTAAAATATCTTTTTATATAGTTTTTAATATTTTATTTCGGTTTTAGAAAAAATTTGAAAATACATCTACATATTATGTAAAATACATGCATTTTAAATTTGAATTGAATTTTAGTTATTTTGGTACTTCATTTTAAACTAAACAAAATTAGAAATATTGCCTTAGTGACTATCCAAAATAAAATAAGTTTAAGCTTTTTCATATTTTGCATTTATGCATTTAGCAGACACTTTTATCCAAAGCGACTTGCGTCTGATAAATGCATAAACGTGCATTTGATTTCAGTTTGAGCAATGAAGATGTTTTGTAATGAATGATAATAAGCTGATGTCTCTGTGTGTGTGTGTCTGTGTCTGTGTGTGTGTGTGTCTGTGTGTGTCTGTGTCTGTGTGTGTGTGTGTGTGTGTGTGTGTGAGTGTGTGTGTGTGTGAGTG